TTTTGGAATGGCGTAGTATGCATCAAGCATAACGAAGTCCTTCTTGATGTTCTGGAGGTTGGCAAAGGAGTGCTCGCAGGGTTCACTAGTATGAAGCCAAGGAAGAAGAAGGTAGGCATCAGAGACGTGGTCACGATAGACAATAATGAGTGAAATGAGACCGTCGATGAGCCTCATAACAATGTCGGCCGACTCGCGTGACATAAAGTTACTGGTTTTCCTTGTAGCCAGTTTTCACCAGATAAAGTCGCCAGCCATCATAAAAATACCATGCCCGGAGCACCATTTTGACTCGCTCGCCATGAGAGATGTTGTGGTTCTGGTATGCGTCGACAATCTCCCATGAATGAAGAGGAAGACTATCTCTCCAATGTGGTCAGGATGATGTTCGACAAGAAACTTGAGAGTTGCTGATTGAAAAAAGAGCCGTGCAGCAGCATTGTCGTCTTGACGGTCTAGCTTCTCAATGTCCCAGTGATACAATGGTGTCCCATCTTCAAACGCCATGATGTGAATATGAGTGAAAAGAGCGGTGTAGTTGCCGAGGGTGAGTAGACGAGGCACTGGAAAAGAGATTGTTGCGAAAGGTTTTTAAACCATGTTTTGGGTCTTGGATATTAACCAAGGCTGACCATGGTGTACGGGAATCTCCAGTCTTATGGTACTCATACTGGAGGACGGGCTCGCGATATCATATACAACGACACTATCTGCGTCTCGCACCACAATACGCTGAACAGCACGTTCGACCTCTGTACCATCACATGCATATGAGACAACGCAGATCTGATGCCTCTGAAGGCCACCAATAATCTCCAAACTCCACTGTGCCAAAGACTCGGCATTGTGATCCAACGCAAGGGGAAGAGCAGCAATGATTATGGGAGCAATCTTGGGGAGAGGAACTTGCAAGCACCAAAGTCACATTTTGGTTGCAAGTGTTAACTTCACTTCTTCAATTATTTCGCGGAGTGCATCTGGATCGGCGACGAGATATGGCTCACCAACCCCCCCAACTAGATAATGAGCTTGTTTGTTGGCATCCCAGAAAACACGCCATGCAGCATAAAGCTTTGTGTCATCGCGGGATAGAGATGTTTGGACCAGTGTAGCTCAAGTCCGCGAGATGGTCTGCAACCAGTTGAAAGGTGCGTTCACATATGATCATGGGAAAACGGGGGCGACGACTCTCTTTCTCTCTGAAGCTTCGCTCGGTACGGACAGGAAGGTGTTTGGATAGAAACTGGAGTGCTTGAGGACTATGTATCCTGAGGACATTGGCAAACTCGTCCCAGCTAGGTGCATACTTGAAGTTTTGCATGCCAACACCTCGTTCTTCACGGTCAAGCTTGGTCACCATGGCTTCGACAAGGCCGATGAAGACGCTGAGATTCGTGTATTTGCCCCGAAGGACACCAGTGGCAAATTGAATGCAGGGTGTTCATTCAGTAGTCTAAGTAATAGTCAAATTAGAAGGGTCATCTCATGAGAGTCACGGTCACGTACAGCTGTTTCAACCATTTCCCGAACACCAATGGTGCGAGCATACATCTTCGCCAGAGCACTTGAGCGAAATCGGTGATTTACATGTACAAAGTTTTCATCTTTTGGAATTGGGCGCTTGATGGCTCGGAGAAATGTGCGCAGTGAGAGGAGGCAATAGCATTTGAAACATGGTTCAGGATGTCCATCAGTGCGAACAGTTTTGACGGTTTGCTTGCATTGCATAGAGAAGATCCGAATCCGCTGGTGATCATTCTTCCACTTCCATCCTTGACTTTGTTTGTCCATAACAATCTGCTTTCGCTGCTTCGACAACTTGCCAAACGTCTTCGAAAACAGCTCCTTGGCTATCTCAATAACTGAGCTTGAGCCTCCTCCAGGGACCGCCGTTCGGGTTAGATAATTCTCTATCAAAGGTTCGTTTGCAATGTAATGCCAGGGCAGGGAAGACCAGGTGTGGATAAGGTGGGGTTAGTAAGGGAATGCGTGCTCGTCTCGGATTCGATGTTGGTCTTCATTCGTATATCAAACTTCTTGGTCCACTGAGTGACAGTTGGGGTTCCAGCAGCGGGAGTCAACAACTTCAGTTGAGCACACTTTTCGTGACATGCTCTCGAAACCTCGAAACATCATACGGTTCTTTGACTTTGATGGTACGACCGCATTTTGAATGTCTGACTGTCTGACAGTCATCTTGAGCTACAGCGTCTGGATCGGGCTCGATAATCTTCTTCTTCCAAGTGCCCATCTTCTTCAGGCATGGTTTGAACTGGCCACTCTTGCCACAGCACGCAAATCACATGAAGCAGTCGCAGATTGGCTCATCCCGACTGGGCCACCAGAGTGTTCCTCAACAACTACTTTTGCCTTTTTCCTCTGCTGCCCTTGCAATGACAGTGTCTCAGTATAAACCAGATCAATTTTCGAATGGGTGCGTTTTTCTCCTGGCTTCGGCACCTGGTTCAGCCAATTCAATAAGCCTCCCTTCGGTAACTCCACAGACTCTCTCGTAGTTTCCTTCAACTCGTTCGGTGGTGTGTCGGAAGGTGTGTTGGAAGGCGTGATATTGAGAATGTAGGATAAAGAATTCTTTTTGTCGACTCGGGGAGACCCTGATAGGACTGCACTGACTGACGTGTCAGGTATATCTTCAATGTCGAGCTCAGTGTTTTGGTCTCGCTTCAGAAATCATATTGGTACGTCACTCAAAGTAAATCGTGAGGCAAATACTCACATCATTCAGCCAATCTCTCGCAAGTAGCGTGAACCAGGTAGCTTGTGCAACTGATTTTTTGGGGCCTGCCAGAGCTCATCTCCGAATGCAGCATGCGCAATTGTATTAGCGCTCACAACCCCACACGAATATGTGTCATTTTGCAAGGCACACGCCATGCCTTTCTGGTCGACGCTATATTGGACCTTGAATGCATGCAGAAGCCAACACTGCAGCTGCTTCATGAATTGGTTCAGTGGCAGTATCTGTCCCCACAAGGAATCTCCTACATCACTTGTAAGTTAACAGTGTGGGTTATGGATACTCTGACGCACCAATAGCAATGGTTTGTTTGTCAAAGTTGACAGCAATAGCAATCCAGTGGTTGCCATGGACGTGAACAGGGAACATCAACAGCTCGTAGTGCAAGGTGACAATCTGATCTTGACATTTTGAAAGCAGAGGGGGGCGTGTTGCCAGAAGGTGTAACACCCTTGATAGCCTCAGAGAGCCTTGAGTTTGTGATGAAGATTCGTTTTATGTGGAACTGTGCACGGGCACAGCGAGCAAGGTGCGTCATCATTAGATCTATGAGTTCATCCATTATCCATCCCATCCCAAGTAAATTTGTGAATTCGATGGATCTGCCACCATTGCCCTTCCAAGGCACAGCAGGGAACAGATCTCGAGCATGTGCCATTACAACGGCCGCCTCTCCAGTCTTCGATGCACTGGAAAGCCACTCCTCACTCTTTCTCCATGCGGTCTGTGCACAGACTGCAGCAATCAACTCACACCACCATGATATGGTCCACAAAGGTAGTTGATCTTTGCCGTCGTTATACTGCAGGTCTGCCAATGACTGAGCTCCATCAAGCCATGCTTGATTAAAGGCTTTGTTGAGCTCCATCAGAAATCCGGCAGGGGAATAGGACGATTTTTTAGGTAAGAGACGTCACTGTCTGGAAGGTCGTGACTAAACCAATGTTTGACCTTCACAGTGACAATGGTCGGGGATCGAGTGGGCAAGGATGTATTCAGAAAATCAGTAACGGAAAGGTCGGGAGAAGGAATGTGTTCAATGTATGTGGGTGGAATAACGAGCACAGCAGAACGAGCATCGAGTACTGACTGTGCACCAGACTTTGACACAAATTTTCCGACGGTGGGTTATCGTCGGAAAGAACAAATATCCAACGATAATCAGGCAAATAGTTACCAATATTCCGACAAGCTGAAAATCGTCGGAATGAGCCCTTATCTGACGTTTTTCGACAGCAAAAAAGTTGTGATTCTCCCTAATTATTCACCTGTCAAAAAGTAGTCCGTATGTAGCCTAATACAGCATATTCCCCTGCAATTGCGCGTCTCCTTCCTCCTGCAACGATCAGAGCCCTCCATGGCAAGCCTGTACTGCTGAGCCAGCTCCTGAGCTTTCAGACAAGCCCACTGAAGCCGCTTTGACGCGTAGTTCGACCCTTGGGACATCAAAACAACCATCTCCAATACTACTATGCCTCCTCGGAAGCCTCAGGTTGCCTCACACAGCGTGGAACTGGGCCAGGAAACGAGTCCAGAAGGCGGTCAGGAGGCTGGGGGCAAGGCTGTGGCCAAGAGGAAGCTGAATGACGGAGGGGATGTGTCCATAACCTCCAAACGTGGTAGGAAGACTCTGGTTCAGCCACGGACCACAGGTGGGTTCAAAAACCCGTTCCCAGCACTCGGTTCCACGTCAGCACCTCCGGTTGTTCATAATATGGCACCAGTAGCTCACCTAGTTCCTCTGGAGTCCATTCCACCTCATCCACCGCAGTCGTTCGATGCAATGTTGCCACAAAGCCAACGTTATGACGCATATATGCGTCCTGATGGGATAGAGGCAAAGCTGTCAGAACGAAACAATCCTTCAGCTGGACCTGCAGACGTACCCATCGATCCTGCACTTGAGGCAACACGCGAGCTTGACGTGCCATCACCAAATCAAGGCTATGACCCTGACACCACGAGAATGCCTCCTCCTGCTACAAATCAAACGATCCCATCCAAATTAGCGAGTGCTGCGATCATCAAGAGTCCATTTGATGCCTTGTCTACACGTCTGACCAGCACCAATCCCTTTCACATGCTGTCGAGCACCCGAGAGCGATCTGCAACACCACAAAACACCAATTCAATTTCACCGACACTGACCAGTTCATCACTCACGCTGTCTGCAGCTTTCACGACTCCAGATGGCTCGAATTCATCATCTGAAGCCTTGCGTGTATCAGCAGCCAATAAACAGGGTGCAGGAACTCCGAGTCTCACCAAACCGACCACTGGCACGCGAGCTGTCATCCCGAAGTGGCTTACTGACACAATCACGCGCCTGGAGAACGAAATGAAGGCCCTGAAGGAGAAGCAGGATGAAGCTACTGACATCATAGATGAACAAGGTCGTGAGATAGATAAGCTTCGTCTGGAGCTTCAAATGCTACACAACGGACACAATCAGCTCGGAGAAGATGTTGAAAAAGCACGCACGTTACTCGATTCTGTCTCCTCAAATGTCGACGTGATTACCAAATCACTTGAAGGAAGTAGCGAGCCATCCAAATCCAAGACGGCGCAGGCAGTTAGTGACAATTCAAAGGATAATATCTGGAATGTAAGTGATTTAGGGAGAGTTAAACTGCACTTGCTTACTCTGTAGATAGACGGGAGTCCGTAAATGTTTCTTGAAAGGCATTGGTGTTACGAAACCCTCAGCAATAAAGGTCTGCCATCCGCACGACGACGGTGTGCAAATCAAAGGGGAACAAGTTCGGCCCGACTTTAGCAAGGACTGGAGCGAGAATGCATTGTGGCACACCCACCTTGTGCAGTACATCAAGCACAATATCAGATCATGCCACCCAATGGTGTCCCAGGAGCTTCTTGCTTCGAAAACGGATGAAGACATACTCAAGCGCCTCCACGAAAACTTCAAGTATTATGCGGCAGAGTACTGCAGTGCCAACAAAATCTCATTAACAACAGGCAAAGTAAAAGGAAAGATTGACTCACAGGTAGCGCGTCGCGAAGCACGCAAACGAGCCGTAAGTTTCTCATAAGCTTCGCACACATGAACTGATTTTCCTGGAGAAATTGGAGGAGCATAACCATGTGCGACCTGCATCAAGCCTCATGTCCGCTGCGTGGGACTATGCGTTCCAGTTAGCGTATCAGAGCACCGACGAGAGCATGCCATCGGAGGACGAGCAAGGGGGAATTGACCCGGACACAGATGAGGAAAAGGATGTTCGCAAGAAGCCACCCGCAAAAGCCAAGGGTAAGCGAAAAGCACCTTCAAAAGAACCATGGATTACGCACCGTCAAAATTACCGGTCATTGTTGGTGTGTATTCCACAAGTATGCGACGAGCACACAGCTGAATCAGATCAGTTCAATCAAGCCATGGATCACCTCAATGGCCTCGCACTCGAGGACAAAAAATTCAGCCGTCGTCATCCACGCATCATTGGTGATCCACGCAATCGAGAGTTGCCTGTATGTTAAGATGGGTCCGAAGATACCCCTCGGCGCAATTGATCCTGAGTGGCTACATTTGCACCCTCAAGACCCATCGAGGTACGATGGAAGCATTGGTATGTCACTACTACCATTGTATTATCTGCGCATGAATTCATGAATTAATGATATTCAATTGAAGTTATGGCAGACGCACCTGAACAAGCCCAAGGCTTGAATGACGAGGGATTAGCAGATGATGAAGGAGAACCACTAGCCAACGAGGATGATGAGGACTTGTACAATGCCTAGTAACCCACAGACATAGACCTCTTGCACGACCACACTGTACCATGCCAAGAAGATATTGTATCAGTAATGAACGAGCCGTAGTACATGCATGTTAATTCAGTCATCATCGACGTCAACATCCGCTTCTGGGTTGCCCTAGCATATAAGGCTGTTAGTACGAATTGATTACATGATAAAAAGAGACACGTACATGATCATACACGACCGCGATCCAAAGCATTTTGTCGTGTACGTTGAGCGGAGCAAGGATGAAGTGCCCACTCAAGGCACTGATAGGAACCACCTCTAAATCATCAAGCTGGTCTGCATACCATGCAGAAACTCCCAAATCTGTTGCCCTTGAAGCAGTCAATATGTGGTAGTGCGAAAATTGAATGTGCTTACCACAGCGCCCAGGGAAACTCGGGTATGTTGTCATCCGAAATAAAACGTCGTACAATGGCAAGATCAGCGATGAGCGGTGCTGTGTCAGCAACACTGCCTATCATGTGAGACTTGTAGTAGGTATTGAATTTCCACAGGTTGGCGTCCATTGATGTATGCGTAACGGGCAGACTTCCCTCGATGAGCGATTGCAGAACCATACCGAAGTCCCCGTAACCACACATGAGAGTATGATCTAGCGTTGCCCATAAAGTTCTCGCCATCTCCCAGAATGTTGGTAGAAGTCTTGAGATTGATGATTGCGCTCCACTTGTTGCGCAGGTACCTGTATGTAATCTGATATATGTTGTTGCTGATTGCCAATAGATTGAGCTTCTTCGGGTGCTTAGTGAAAGTGATATCATCTGCATATCGAAGACGGATGTCATTGATAAACTCAGCAAGACGAAGAAGATACAACAGACCTTCCACAACATTCAGGCAACCTTTCTGTTGAGTCTTCAGGGACATCCGAAGAAGCCGCAGGGAGTCTTCATCATCCTCGGTTCGGTTAGGAAGAGCTTCGATGTGAAGGATCTGGTACATAGATAGTTAGTCTAGTAACGAGGAGCATAGTATAAGGCAACATACAAGCTCGTAATTGAATGTAATGCTCCACCACCGTCGCATCAGTGTAGCTTCAAGTTCTCCTCCTTTATGCTGGTTGTGATTTATCTTTGCGAGCTTGCCATTATGTCGCTCGAACGCAAAAGCCCACGTCGCATAACAGGGCCCGAATTCATACATCTGCTGTTCAAAGTGATTAACAAAATGAAAGTACGGTGTCAGGTGACATCCCATGCGAGCCCAGCTCTGTGTAGCATGAGATAATGCTACACATCCTCTGCGAACATCGTTTGGACTGATAGATTGAGATGATAGGATGCGCACCGCAGCCGAGAACTCGAGAATTACAGCATAATGTCGACGTAAATTACGGTCCATCTTTGCAGAGTTAACACGTTCAGTTTCAGCATCAGAGGGATGTGCATTGCGAGCGAGCAGATGCTCCAAAAGCCGTGAGCGTAGAGTTTTCTGCATCGTGGCTTGGGCAGTGAAGTTTTTGGTATTAGACGCCGAGGGAGGTGCATTGTGGTCTGGGATCTCGCCGTCGACTGCCCACGCATCATACAGAGCGACAAAGAGGACTGCAATTTGATTGCGCCATTGATCTGCTTTTGGTGATCCCTTGCCAGTTGAAAGCTATGAACCAGATTATGATGCGGACAATGATAAAGAAAATAATACACTGACTGAAGGCGGTAGGCGATTTGCTTCGACTGGCCAAACGAGCCCTGAAAAGAAGGCCTCAAGTCGGTCCATTGGCTTGACAAGTCTCGTTCCGTTAAGTAAACCAGACTTAATGAGGATGATCTTGTTAAGATGCTTCACCAGACCTTTGATATGTCAGTAATGAATTGCAATTACAATCCTCGAAACTTACCCAAAAACACCGCATGCATAAACTCGACTACGGAGCTACGAGCAGGCATCCAACCCGGAAGGTAATTGAGGGCAGACCAACGGGCACCTCGATTCTCATGAATGGCATCGGCAGTTGCAGAGTCTGCATTACGTGAACGAAATGAATACTTGATATACCTCCAGTCGTCTCGGTACTTGAATTCTATGTGAGCAAATGTTAGCGGTGATTGAGCAGTGTATCACAGTGAGACATGTACTTGACGGATCAAAACAACTTGGGTGAGCAAGCGAGAAGGAAGGTGTTTTACAAGTTGGACACATGAAGAATTTTGAGCTATGACCTTGGAGGCCGGTCACTTTGCGACTTGACGGGAGATCAGATACATTGCAGTACAGATGAGAGTGTGACACCTCCGGATCATCGTGACCATGAACAGTGAATTCTACTCCTGTAGGATGTCAATTGAAAACAGCTACGAAGATTAGAGACAACTGACCCTTTTCCAAACGAAGCATACTCTCCACGAATGGTTCCAACAGATAGTTCATCTCCTCCAACGACGGCTCGTCGGGTCCTGGCATAACCATAACGAGTATTGTTTCTTCCGGGAGATAACGAATAGAGCGTGGATTGTTGCAGATGACAGCATAAAACGCGCCCGTAGAATGATAGCCTGATTTTCCTTTAACCGCTTGAAACCTGTAACAATACACACCTAGTGTAAGTATCAAATTGGCGAGGGTGAAAGACATGTAAGACATACCAGTCAATATTGATTTGCCATACCAGTCCGCAAGGTAGTGAAACAAAACGTTGATGAAGTTCGTGCACGTCTACATCCTCTATTTCCCATCGTCCACCTCTTCGACGCTCTAGCCCCGCCTGAATCATACGCCAGCCATATCCATCATAAATGTCTCTCATTGGCTTAGACGGGTCGGGAAATGAATTGTATCCATGACCAGGAATAGGCGGGACATGACCTGGCTGGTCTTCAGGGCCGCGCCAGTGCTGGAATTGGTCCCATTTGCCTGGTCGTAGAAGAAATCGCTGTAGAGCCCGTTCAGGAGGTACATATGGGACGATTTTTGTTGGAGTTCGTTTGAGGGTGCCGTCAGCCAGTCGTTTCGAGGTGTACAACAATCCGTCACAATCAGGATTAGTGCAATCAGGAGAATGTAGCTCAGGAAGCTCTGATGGATGGTGTAGCTTCCAACAGACATTGCAAACGAAAAAATAAACAATAAATTGATCTGTCGATAGACCAAGTCGTCTGAGGAGGGTGGGGAGTGTGCGGGCAAAGTTATCGAGCCCTGGATACTCAATATCAGGGTTGGCCTGTTGAGCAGTGCGCAGAAGGCGCTCCTTTCCTTCAAGATCGTGATACACTGCTGCGTGGGTAGCATTATAGAATGCTGCAGATATAAATGCATGTATGTATGCGTGGCGGACTGCCGGATGGTCGTCCATGCATGACAGAGGGTCAGCGTGAATATCCGCTCCTTCTAGGACATCCGAGAAATCAAACTGGGTGCCCTGCGATACAAAGAGATCAATAGCAGCAGCAGCCTCATCATCCTCGACATCAATGTCAGGATCATCATCGGGAACTGCAGGATCTTCCGTGTCATCCTCTGGTGTGTTGGCTCGTCCAAGTCGCTGAAAAATTTCTTCATCTTCGTCAGTGCTGAAGTCATTTGGGCCTCGAACATCTGGGGGTTCATTCCACATCTCGAAGAGGTTGTCTAGCGGCTCAGGAGGGTCGAAGATCCCTTCCCCATCATCATCACCATGCGCGAATGGTTCGTTGGCTCCAAAAGGCTCATGTGCAGGTGAGTGAGGCCCAGAAGCGACTGGTTCAATGGTACGAGCATCGCGGAGCTGCTGATCAGCAGCATGGTGTCTTGCAGCTGTCTGAACGGTCTGTAGTTTCTGACCACTTGCATCAGGATTATCCCTACATCTGTAGCTCTCACAGGAGCACCACTTATACGACAACTTGGGCATGAGTCTGGAGACCCGGTAGGAGGATGTGGAAGCTGAGTCAGTGGGCGACGACGGCTATACATGTACATGCGTTCACAACGTTGATTGCTGCGCAGTTAAGTCCGAAACGAGTAACCAACAGTGGATTATCGATCGATATATCGCTACACATTTTCGCCAACATGAATTACGTCGGATTTCCAAATTCTCACTCATTCTCGCCGGGGAATATTTTAGCTCAAAGTCTGGTGGTGGAAGTGTTTTTATATCAAATATTCTTCCCTTCCCAATTCACTTGTGAGGATTAAAGATAGGGGGGTGAACGAGATCGATAGTGTTAACGTTGTTCATGTTAGGAGCAAGTTGAACAAAAAAAGTTGATTTTATTTTCTGAATTTGCATGTCAAATCGATCAATCTGTCAGCCAATGTCAGCCGCTATCGCAGTGAAGCTCAAGCAGTTGTGTTGCTTTAAGTAAAAAGCTTGATTCGAACTCCAGCACTTGGATATGACACACTGCTACTATACCTGAGATACCACTACGACATTCCGCCATACCTCACCTGCCCAGCATGAACACCATGTCCGGATGGTGACCTGGCTCCCAAAACCCCTCGCAGACGTCCGGATGGTTGACCCAGGTTGACACCAAAATCAGACCTTTTTTGTCCGGATTGTGACCTGGGACAAATGACCATTTGACCCGATTTCTGTCCGGATGGAGGACTGGGTTCCATAGGCATTATCAGGGGTCCTGTTACATCAGTAGCATAGTTAGCCAATGAAAATCGTTTATCGTTTATCCGTAAGTCAATGTTTCAATTTCAACACTGATCGAGCAACAGCATATGATTACGTAATACGCACAGACCTGCACATGCCCCTGCCTGCAACTGGACGCAAGCTGTGGACTCCCTGAATGGTCAAGGGCACCATTTGAGCCCTTTCAGGACATATCCCCCCTTCCATGCCCGTGGGCCACAGATTCATGTGTCCTACAGTTCCGGATGCTCCTGCATGTTGCCAACCTTCACCTTCAAGGCTATTTGAGCTTTGCAAATCCAAGATCTGAAGAACGATGCCATTGATGGTGGCTGGATGATCAGAAGTTTAGGATGACAATCCCGAGTCTGATAACATTTGTTTGCCAGAACATATTCCTAGTCCGGAGGCCTCTAAATTACGTTGTCATAGGCTTCGCGTGGAATTTCTCGTAGGTGTCATTGTTGCTGAGTGCTGAGCCTCTGCTTTAGTTTCTGTTCACTGCTCTCAGTGCCGTGCTGAAGGTCGTCATCAGTGACATTCGTGCAGAGGCTCTCCCCATACTCACCGACCTCGGCTGCGATTTTTCCTCCATCCTCGAGATTATTGTCACATTTGCCACTGGCATCGCTGCCTCCCTTTTTCCTCTCCTTGCTCCTGTCATCGCCATCATCACTTCTTTAAGTCTCTCAGACCTCTTATCCCTCCTCAGACTCTCACTTTAATAATGTGTGCCTTTATATTCAGCATCACTTATTCATGTTACAGTCAAGTACACCCCTATTCATTTTCTTCTCTTACCTTGTATTACGCCACAATCACATCATGCCGTTGCTAGGCGATCTATTCTTGTTATCTCTGACTCGCTCTTATCTTGTATTACGCCACGATCACATCATGCCATCGCTAGGCGATCTATTCTCATTATCTCTGACTCACTTTTATCTCTGACTCATTCTGACTCCGTCGTACCGGCCCTAAAGCAGTTATCTTTCACTATATAAATTTGCTTTGTACTATGTAGCTCTTTACTTTAATCTTACTAGGTTTTACCTGGAACTTCCTTCGCTTAAGACCTCCAATCTTCAGTCGTATTGAACTTGATTCAAGTCGAGGACACTCTCCTCATCTTGTCTTAGAACATCGAACTTTGGTATATGCTGAAGCCTTGAACCGACCTTGGCCGATCACTCTTATCGAGTAGCCATACGTCTGAACCATCCTAGTTTGTAACAAAAGATTAAAGTCTTCCATGAATACATCGCCATCATGCGCTGTAGCTCAGAAAGAACAAACCCTGGTCATCATGACAGATAGAACCCCAGGTCCCAAGAAGCTGAAACAAGCTGATGTCATTAACACCAATTTTTGGCGCTTTGAACTTAGGTGCTGTACCACCCTTACCACCTTTGAACCCCCCAATGTCTTCCTCGAAACCCATTGAAATCAAGATCGGATCTCCCCCAGTCTTTGACAGGGATAGAGATAAATCCGAAGGATTTTTGATGTCGTGCATGTCTTATCTCGACATCAACAAGAAGATCTATGTCGATGACAAACAGAAAATTATTTTCGTAACTTCCTTCATGAACGAAGGAAACGCACACTACTGGAAGGAAGACTTCCTCAGACAAGCGCAAGATCCCAACAACAAGACTACTGTAGGCCTCGTCAAAGGATACGGTACATGGGCCGAATTCCTCGCCGATTTCAAGAGTGCGTTTAAACCACTTGATCCCTCGGGAACTGTGTTAGCCAAGCTTCGCAATCTGAAACAAGGAACCGAGCTCCAAGATTATATCTCAGAATTCTTGATGCTCACACAAAGGGCAGGAATTCAAGGTGATGTCGCCAAGAAGCAATTCTTCTTAGACGGATTACACCCAGGACTGCTCGCTCACCTCTATGGCACGGGTGACGTCTCCGATGACTTCGAAGTTGTCCTCACCACCTGCATTAATCTCGACAACTCACACCTTCACTTGAACGCCATCAGGGCACGCCACCAACCCCAGAAGAAGAAGAACTTTGGATCTAACCAATACGTACCATCTAAAGATCCCAACGCCATGGTAATCGATCGGCTTTCTGAAGAAGAACGCGCTGAACATTTCCGGACCGGAAAGTGTTTCACCTGTCATAAGACCGGACATCTTTTTAAAAATTGTCCTGAGAAGAAGAAAGGGAAAACCCTGATACGCCGCAAAGAAGTGGAGAGTAGCGATGAAGAAGAAGAAGAAGCAGAAGTCCATCGTCTCAATGAGGATTTTTGATATGGGAGACTGGATCAACGTCAGTATCTCTCAATGTACCCATAAGACTTGTACGAAAAGTTGGTGAACGCAAAGAACTTTGAGTTCCCCTTTCCCTAATTTCGAAGACACGTCTGAAAACCGTTGAAACCACTGCAGTTGTCGATTCCGGAGCAGCCAGAACTTTCATCTCAGAAGACTTCGTTAAGAAGCACAAGATCCGAACCCACGCTCTCAGCAAACCCTTTAGGGTTACTACCGCCGATGGAAGCTACTCCAAAAGCGGAGCTATACGCCGATACTGCGTCCTTACCATCAAAATCGACGAATGGACTATGATCGGAAAGTTCAACGTCACACGCCTTGGCAGAAGAGACCAAATTTTCCTTGGAATCCCTTGGCTGCAGGCTATGAATCCGATTATTGACTGGGCAGCCGAAACCCTCATC